TTGTTCTAAAGGAAACACATTTGCATATAAATCAATTTATGAATTCGAACATATAGTTTTTACTCTGTAAATATTAAAAAGAAAAAGTAAATAGGACCTGAGTCTAGGTCTTACCCTGAAACCTTCAGTAAAATCGTATTTCCTTTGAAGATTAAGTTTTTTTCGGGCAAAGTCTTAAACCAGATTAGTTTTTTTTACCGTGCATCTTTAGGGAATTTTGTAGCTCCCAATTTTCACGAAAACTTGTTGATATCAATTTAAAAAATCATTGGTCTAAAGGAGGCAAGCTCGTATACCTAAAAACCATAAATGTCAAAACTGCTGTAAAGTCAGACGGAACAAAAACTAAACTCTGAGCGTACGGTCTTGGGTGGTGCAACGTAGAATTTATTATTGTTTTTGGTTCTGTTGAATTTTTGAGTGTAAGTTAGACTCAATCATTTGAGATATACTTTATTTTCTTAGAACTTACTTTTGTGATTTAATTTTCATAGATAAAATATATTTCTAAGGAAGAGCCACGTGGCAATATGTTATTGTTGAAAGGAAAAATCTTTATTTCATTGTATACCAATATTTTACTTTTATTTGTGAACACATTTCACCATCGTTTTGGATTGTAAATTGAACTTCACAATACATCACAATAAAAAAAAACTTGTTTCAGAAAATTACAGAATATAAATATCAAAGTAAATAAAAATATCAAAAGTTCTACAGAATTCTACCAACATCGTGTTTGGTTGAGTTTAAAACACCATGCTCCAAAGTTTTAATTATAACAATATCTGTCATTAATGTACGTTTTATTGATGATTTAAAACTTTTGATATATTTGGAAATACGTAACTTATTTGATTCCATAGGTCGAGGGACAAAAATGGGTTTTGCTCTTCGCACAAATGTATTGTATAAAACGTATACATCGTAACCATCGATATTTTTCTTTTTAAATAAACAAACAAAAGTTCTAATAACTTATGTTATTACTAAGATTTACTCATATCCTGGTTGTATATATTTAAAAGTAAACTCTGCATATATTAAATCATCTAGAACATAACTGTGGAAATAGTCATGTGCACATGAATTGTATTCCTATGGTATTAGCGACTTTCCCTATAGGGAAGTAGCTATTACCGTAGGTCTCATGGTAAGACTTAGGCCCGGGACCGATTTACTTTTTCATTTTGATGTCCCCAGAGGTTAAAAACACCACTCGTTCAAATTTTTATATATGCATATATATAGATATATATATATATATATACATATATATATATATATATATATATATATATATATATATGTGTGTGTGTGTGTGTGTGTGTGTGTGTGTGTCCGTGAACACGATAACTTGAGTAATTTTTGTCCGATTTTGATGAAATTTGGTTTGAAGGTGTAAGGCGGGATAAACTTGAATGAGTTCGCGATCCATCATGATCGGACCATGGGAACAGGGTTTTATGGGGGGTTTTATGGGGTAAAAATAGATTTTTCTCACTTTTGACCCTCAAAACACAAAATTTCCCAATTTTTCTCTAAACCTTCTTAAAGAGGTTAAAAAAAAAACAATGCAGTATATCAAAGTGTTTTTGTACGGTTATTGGTTACGGAAAAAACTAAAAAAATGGTAAATTTAAAATTCCCATGTTATTCTTATGGAGAATATTGTAAAATGTTGTAGTTTGCTTGTTTATGGATATCTTTTGATCAAACTTGGCAAATATATTCATTTTATTATTTACTTAAAACACACACTTTATTAGTTTCCTTGTAGCAGCAAACCTAGGTACTCGTTACACCTAATGTTATTTAAATAGATCAATTGAAAATCAATTCAGCCAAATGGAAATTCGCTTAGGCGTCAGGTTTGCTGCGGCGGGGGTATTTTTATGTTTAACTGACATATTATTAAATTAATTCATACAATAATCTACAAACAAGAGCCGAATATAAGATAAATGAGATTTATAACTTTTATAAAGGAGAGTAAGTGGAAAAGCCAATTGGATGACAATTTGTCTGCTAGACAGAGCGGAATGACTTCCTGGTTTAAACCATAACTGGGATGAAAGTGGAATCGCGTTAAACTTATACGATTTGTAAAGCATAGCCTTCTTAGCATTTACTTCATTAAATATTGATGCGTTTTACAGCGTTCTTAAATGTACCTAATAGTTTGACGTTGTAGGTAATCTAGTATTAGTACACTTTTACGTGTACTAATAAGTTTACACATCAATAATTGATGTGTAAACGAATGTCTTTTGTAAATATGTCTTCAAGGTATAATACAAATAAGTAAATAAGTATTCAACTTGCTACTCGCCTGCATGAGAATACATTGGACTCAAAACATTTTTCTCTTAGTCTACTAAATTTGGATTTTATAAGTTCTTAGGGTCATCATAACACAAGAAGGTGTACAAATACTTTCAATAAATTATTTTCATTTTGGAAAATAAACGAGTTGGTATTATATGATAAAAGTGTTATATTAAAGTCATCCTACATTAACCTTTGTGGTTATTCTGTAGTTTAGTCTGTCACCAGGTAATTTTTAAGTAAAAATAGCAAAAATGGTTTCAACATATAACAGACATTAACTTAAAGCAAATTACGTTTTGAGGTATTCAAATATTTCATTTTGATCTTAACTCTGTTTTGATCGTGTGAATATATTATAAAATAAAGTGTACTCCCTAGTTTGTTTAAACATTTCAAAAAATTTTAAATTGAAAATTTGCATTATTTTTTCTTTAAAAAATTGCTCTGGTTTTTCTTTTCATCCATGTAAACACGTTGTACAGTCCTTAAGACTCCATTTTCGTTTGTCCATTTTCTTCTCAGTCTGGTCAGGTTTAAAGAACTCTCACAGGAAAATAAAGTTCGGACGAGGATATTTTACCCTATTCTTTAATCCCAAGTGGGTCTTTACTGTAAGACTGGTCACGTGGAGATAGCATAGGATTTTTTATATTGATTAAACTTGCATTTTGAAGCCTTAGGATATAATTTTTTATTCGAAGTCCTTTTAATTTTGTGATATGACAAACTTGACTAGAATAAACATCAATAAACATAAAAAAACAGGAATTTTAAGTTCTCCGTGACCCCTTCGTCATCTATAAAAACTAACTTCATCAGTGAAATGTCGAAGTTTTTTTACGCAATTGCCTTTCTAAGCTTATAAATAATAATCAAATAAAAATTCAATACAACGTACCATCGCTTAGGCTGTGGCCACACGGGCGTTTTTTCACGCACATACTCAGCATGAAAACACGCGAAAAATATGAGCAGCATTAAGTAATGGGGAATGACACAAGCAGTGTGTTTTCCCGCAGTAGCGGGCGCCTATTCGTTTTGATATTACTCAAATTTCTCGCGTGTTTTCACCCTGCGTTTGTGCGTGAAAAAACGCCCGTGTTGCCGCAGCATTTTAAACACAGAATCCCATTACGTTTAAAGCTTTAAAGTTCAATTAAAGGGTATTTTATAAAGTTACTAATCTTATGTCTAATTTATTGAATTGATGCTCCCATAAAGCTTAATATACAATATTCAAGACACATTGATCTAATAGTTGATTTCTCTTTTCGGCACTGATGCACATAAACTGAAGAAAGAAAATGAGTCTCAAGTGTAATCATGTTGGGCATACATATTACATTAAGGAAACTCTAAACAAGTTGGAAACTTGGTAAACATCTCCTAACAGATTTTTCTCACAACTAATAATTAAAGGTTACATAAATGATAAGCATTAAGAAAACTCTTTTGATGTTACATTTTGGTGATACCACCAATATCTATGAAATTGTATATCAGACATTAAACATACCTTCAGTCAATATCAGTCTTTGAACTGTGAGTAAATTGATACATTGAGACAAATAATTAAAATGGGGTTTTATTTTCTAACAGAGTATTATAATATAAGAACTTAACACATTACTTAATGAAGAAAGTAGACAATTTAAATTATTTAGTAATATATACCATATTAATAATTTCGAGCATAATAAACTACATTTTGAAAACCATCCTACTTTACGTTTAAGTAGTAATTCTTCTGGCCAGAATATTACTATGAAGTAATAACTACTAAATATAGTTTTTAATAATTCAACAGTACCGATATTTTAAATTTAAAACCATACTTTAATTTCAATCGTATTTTATTTAAGTAGGCTAATATGTTTATCGTATTTTTCCATTACCTTAAGTGTATGTGATTAAAAAAAAACATGCGAATGGTTGTGTAACAAATTTTGTGCTTTCGATGAAGGGAAAACATAGCTACTATACGTACATATTCAACGTGAATGCACTAAATTAGTTTTATGTGTAGACAATTGTTTTTTACTTTGAATGCTGAAACGAAATTAATACATGGAAATCAATAATAATTGGGAATTCGAATAAATAAAAGTAATAATTTCCAAACGTAAATATAATCTTCAATTTGGATCGAAACATACTATTACAAAGTTTCATGAAAAAAAATTATTCGAAACATGTAATGATGTATTCAATTAAGTACACACGTATGCGTACTTACAATTTTACATAAGTAAACATGTGTGCCCAGGGTGTTCAAAAGAAGTTTTATTTATGAGTGATGCAAGTAAAACACTAGACAATTATACTTAATATTATATTACAATTATATGGTACAATCACATAAACGAAACATTCTGCAATGCATTCAAAAGGTTAAAGAAATGGATCATCAAGTTGCAAACACGATTTTAACTTATTTTGGTTGTTTAAAATCAAAAGTAGTGTTCAAACATACAAAAGTAAAGTAATAATTTTAATAAATCCAAACAAATTGTTTTACACAGGAATTTTCATGAATGTAATAATTTTATAGTTGTTTACCTTGGAGAAGTCAACCAACACAGCGATAAAGATCAATTCCGTCAGTTTTTGATGGTGAAACATCCTTACAAAATTTCGCGGACATTCCATATGATCGATCTGTTTCGGATTTAGTGTTGGAGCTGCTTACACCCTGGGACAGGCCTGCGGTGGAACCTCGCTCCGAACCTCTTCATCGCCGCCGTCTCTCCGATGGCCAACCCGGCCTTGACTCCCTCCCGCAACACTCTCACGTCGTCAGGGTCTGTCAGGTAGTTGTGGTACAGTAGAGGGTACTGCATTGGGTCGTTACTCCTCAGCATGATGTATCCGCGACTCTTAGGCCGTAATATCATGGGGAACACCCCGAACGCGTCCTTGTTGACGATGTCCCCCAGGTACTCGTCGAAGTACTCCTGCCTGAGCCCGTGGGCGCGCTTGGCCACAGTCCCTCCGTCACTGATGGTGCTGGTGGACGTCAACATGAACTCCATGTCTGGCCAGTCGTCGGTCACGTTGCCGTACTTGGTCGTGATGAACGCCACAGTCTCCAGGCCCACGGAGCTGGTGAGAGGGCCGTCCCCCGTGATGGCGTAGCGCAGGGCAGAGTTGATGTTCATCACTCTCTGCAGCACCAGAGACACCGGGTAGTCCACCAGGAAGATGATCCCTCCTACAGCGATGTGGTCCATCAGGTTGCGGCCCACTCCTGGCGAGTCGTGGATCAGGGTGATTTGTACTCAGTGTGACAAAATTTTTTTGATGTAAGTACAAAGTAAATGAAGTGTGATGATGCATATCAAATGTTCCAAGTCTCAAAATTAGCGTCACAAAAAATTATTTTATGTTTTTCAAAAATAACCATGCTTTTAAACTTAATACAGCGATTTCTCAATTACCTGTATATGGATTTGAGTAGATAATGTCATTTTCGTGTTCTACATTAAATTTTGAACAAGAATAATGGAAAATGACGGAGGATCAGTTGTAAAAACTCCATTGTAAATAGATTCAAAGATAAAAATTAAGATATTTGATAAAAATTTTAAAAAACAATGGTCTATTGTATTTTTCACACTCTGTATACAAGAAAGTGTCGGAATATGTTAAAAACTGTGCCATTTTATAATCTTTCCAACGATATGCTACACTATTGCGGTTTATGTCTGCTTATGTACGCTTTAATGGTTTGAAGACTACAAAGCATGGTGTCTTTAACATTTAAAACATAGAAAGTCGGCATGTATTAAGCAAAAGTTGTATTTTTGATTCAGCTTGAACAGTAAAAACAGTAAAAAGTTCCCTGTTTTCTGGTATTCAAACCACTAAAACAAACAAAAAAATATCTAAACCTTAATAGTGTAGCATATGGTGTTAAAATGTTTTTTTCGGTGTAAGTACAAAGTAAATGGAGTGTGGTGATGTATATAAGCCGTTCCAAGTCTAAAAATTGGCTTCCCAAAAACATATTTTAGTTTTTGATAAAATAACCATTTCTCAATTACCTGCAAATGGGTTTGCATAGATGGTGTCATTTTCATGTTCCACGTTAGATTTTGAATTAGGATCATTGAAAATTTTGGAGGATCAATAATAAAACCTCCATTATAAATCGTTCCAAAGATTAAAATTAAGTTCTTAAAAAAAAAATAATCATTGGTCTATTGCAATTTTCTACACCCTGTATAAAGGAAGGTAGCAAAATATGTTGAAAACTGCGCCTTTTATTAAGCTTATCAATCATATGATACACTATTGAGGTTTAGTTCTGCTTATGTTCGCTTTAGTGGTTCGAAAATCCGATTGCAGGTAATTGAAAAATTACTTTATTGTGTTTAAATAAAAAAAAAACATTGATATTTTAGAAAACAATTAAATAATTCATTGGCAAGCCAATTTTTAGACTTGGAACTCCTTATATACATCATCACACTCCATTCGCTTTGCACTTACATCAACAAAGTTTTGTAACACTGATGACCAGCCACCCTGTATATTAATATTATTTAATAGACGAACATGAATTTTGTGATAATTGTTCTCAAGCTGTTACGCAATCGAACTACATGTCCAAGGATATCCAAATTTTCTGTGGGTAGTACGTGGGAAATGAGAAAAAATATGTAAAAACTTCATCAAGGCTCAATCCCAGTAGGATACTAAGTTACCATGTTATACTTAGAGAGAATATGTTTGTTTACATTTGTACAGATAAACACATTAAAATTTAGACTAATAACACAGCTGATTGTATCGAAATTGAAATGAATGGTCACAAAATATGATATAACGATTAATTCGATTGGTTAGGCATAAATCATGGTTTAAGAACAGTTAAATTCTGTGAAACACTTCCTAAGATATGTTTGTTCGGTACATATAAAATAAGATTTTACTTTAGGTGTTTTTTTTTTTTTTTTTTTTTTTTAAGATCGGATAATATTCATATACATGGTAAAAAAATCTATCCATGCTAGACATAATAATTAGGTTATTATAACGTAGTTTCGATAAAGTTAGTTTGAAATGATTTAATAGTTTGGGCCATAGTTGTAAATTTCTGGGGCTTTAATTGTTTTATGTAAGGCCAACTGACTGTCTGATAATTTTTACAGCCCACAATAATGCTGCTAGTGTTTAATTATAAGTATTACCTATATATGTATCCTCTTAAACAGTCTCCCTATTATCGATTGTAATATAATGTATTTTATTTTGTTTCACAAGTAAAACACTGTCTATTGTGTGGATATAAAGCATAATGACAATAATGATTCTGATTCTTATTCATACTAATATTTTAATGCATTTGTTGTAGTTTATAACGAATAATATCACACTAACAATGTATAAATTATACGTCTTCAACATAAAAACTGCATTACATTTTCAGTAAAAAAAGATAAAGAATAAGGACCTATAATTGTTTTTCCTAATTCATACCAGTAATCTTAAACTAGTTCTCTATCAATAATTCGTCCGTTTTTTGAATTTGATTGAAATGATCCTTCAAGTTGAAAAGAAAACAGTAATAAATTGAACAGGTCTGTGATTGAGTCTTCAATCTAGGTTTCTTTGGAGAAAATACTTCTGGTTGATTGATATACGTGTTATTTTGTGTTAAAAATGTTTGCCACCTCTTTTACTGAGTAAATATTAACACCTACATACTAAGGTATTTCAACCTATAACATATAAACCAAGGCTTGTTCCTACAGAGTTATACCGGGTGTCCATAAAATAATCATTGGGGCTTAGTTACATATATATCATTAGTGCAAATTATAATGCTGTACGTGAATTGGTTAGATTTCTATGCTTGTTTTAGTGAAGCTATTACGGGTACTTTTAAAATTACACATAATCGGCCATTACAGCTTAACGGCTGGGTTTGGAAAATTAAATTTTTACATTTTTTTGTTACTTTTAGTGAGTAGATTAACTATAAGAAATTAACGCACTCTCCCTGTATATATCTGTAAAATAAAGTATTTTAAATACCAATAAAGTAATAAAGTATTAATTATCAATTATGTGTTTTGAAATCCGATGAATATTTTAAGGAAACCAAGTATAATATTTTTTTCACTACAGGGCTTGATGTTTTACGACGGTACAATGTCGGTTGACTTTTTATCTAAAGATTAGTTTGCAATAAATATGCTTAGAAGTTTAATTATGCTAAATAGACATCGAGATTGTAAAAATTATTATAAACTTACATATCGTTTCATGTTGCAATGCTTACTTATTATTGTTTCTTACGAACATCTACAGACCAATGACGACTTCGCGTTGTTCTAGAACTAAGTTGAATACAGTGATACCTCAGTTGATTCCAAACTTCATTGAATACACAAGCCCTTGTTATGATAGTAAACTGAAACTACCTGAATCCCAATGCTCTACTTGATTCGCTGGTTCAATAAAAGCAACAATCTTACAACTAAGAAGTTATCTACCAGGGCTATTCAGACAACATCTTAAATATATTTCAAAATAACAATTATAAGTTTATTATAATCGAAATCAGTTATACATGCAGTGTATTACCTTTAAACCCTTATTGATAACAGACGTTTTTAAATTGCAACTAGTGGGTCTAGAAATAAGACTAACAATGAAATTATAACAATTAACTAGTAATTGCTACAAACACCTGTAGTTTTAAGCTCTAGTCTTCTACGTTTAATGGTCAGTCAATGTACTGATGTGTATAAGTATATGTCATATTTTAAGATCAATAATTAAAGAAAACTAGCAGTCAGCGTCATTTCGAAACTTCAAAGTGTGTCCTGTTATTTTCTTTAAACGCACGATCTCTTCGAGTCATCTTAGAAAAATTATAAATACTAATGAAACGTACTTAAAAAACAACACATCCAACGTAAGTAATTTTCTTTATATTTTAAACAATTAGGATTACAATATTTTACTTGAACTCAGTAAAACATCACCGACTGTAATAATAACCCCATTTTCGTATAGATGTAAGCATAATTGTATTATGGCCATCTGTTTTGATGTAAACGTAAACTTGATAATGTTCAGAAGATTGACAACAGAATTCATCACAAACTCTGAAATTTTAAAGCTTATAGTACAAAGGGTTTTCTAAATATCATCCAAGCCCTCAAAAAGCACATCTAGAGGATAAGAGCTTTTACACCCAATATGTCTATGAAAATACATATTTAGGGGTCGATTTTGCTGAATACAAAGATCCAACAAGTTCTTTAAATAATATAGATAAATTTATAATTAATTGTGGAGTGAGCTGGTTGAGCATTGGCAGAGTGTAGCTAAACAAAATGGAAGCCATGGTATGGGTACACTTTTATGGAGATAATGAAGAAAAAGACTCATGGAGACTTTTAATCGTCATAGATCTTTAGGTTAACATTATTTATTTATTTATTTGTTAACGGTTGCACCATTTTTACATGAATAATACAATGTCTTACATGCAGAAGAAGCAGAAAAAAATCACAGGCCAGTACAAAAGTAGTGAAAAAAAACTGGAAAACAAGACTTCAATAACAAGACACAAAAAGATAAATAACAACTATAAATAACAAACTATGAATAACAAACTTTAAGTAACAACTATAAATAACAAACTATCTGAACAAGTTGACAAAACGAGATATTCGAAAAACAAAACCAGTATTATTTTGGTAACGTCATCATAGCAAATAGATGAAATTTAATTAAAATTTTCATACGATATCCTTACGTGGTACAAAGAAATCACCATTCAGGTAAGGTTACTAACATCTGATTATTTTATTCAGTCAATGTTATAGAATCTCAAACAAAAATTTGTATTTTCAAGACGACTTAAAAAAGTTACTTAATGGGGGGGGGGGGTTCTTCATTTAAATTACATCCTGTACCTTTTTAAAGAAGTCATATAACACCTAGTTATGAATTCAATTGCAAACGTTTAGCATATATTTGACTTAACTTAATTACTAATTCTACGAGGATCCATTAATGATTAACAGTTATTTACCCCGTAGACCGTTATCTTAAAATTGATATCTTGGACACGTGTGTTGTAAATAGTAACAATGTAAAATGCCTCTTGACTGCAATATTGATGGAACAGTAAAGTTATTGTTTCCGACGCTTGTCAAATTTTACAAACGGACGTGGTTTCAATTTCCGGCAAATAAAAGCATTGCCAACCATAAAAGATTTACTTCAACTGTGTCTGTATGTTATATTAAATTCTAG